ATTTCATTCATCAGAAAATTTGAGACACAACTGAGATACAGGATGTTACAGTACAGGTTCCGCTATGTCCAGAGTCCTCACTGACATTGAAAGGCTATGGCCAAAATGTTAGCTGTCCTTGCAGCCCTTCTTTTTCTCTAATTTTTGTTCTCCAAACTGAAGTTGTTAACCCTCCAGAAGAGAAGCTTATTAATACTGTACAACATAAGCAGTTGAGCTTAAACTCACTATATGTCTAAATATGAAACATCTTAGACATTTCCATCAAGTATTGATATCCTAAACTTTAACTCACTGCAGAGTATGAAGAAAAAAATTAAAAATAGGAATAAACAATTACATATTTTTACACAGAAATTTAGAAATCTAACCATATACAGCATTATAGCAGGACAATCAATGGCTGTGAGTCATCCACATGGTTGACCTGACAATGGATCTACAAACTGCAATAGGGTCTCAGGGTAAATCCTGAGGAGATTTGACTGACTTTGTCAGATAGAAAAATTACATTTCATGTTATATAGGTCCTGCTTTATCTTGGTCTTAACCATCGAGCAGAAAATTATAAAAATGAGGTATAAATAGTAAAGCCATATTAATATGCTGAGTTGTAGAAGGCTCAAGTCAACATCTGACATTGCCAGTCCTACCGATAACCCACTACTATTATGGGCCACTGGACTATATTGGAATATTTTGCTGAATTCATGCACTTAAAATATTTAAATGACAAGGGAATATCCATCTCTGACAAAACTAAACAAATAAAGGGGATACAAATGAAAGACCATTTTGTATCTGTATATTCAAAATAGTTATCATAGATATAGAGCTACTTTCTCTTAATTCAATGAATAGAATGATTTGTACTAATAATGTTTGTGGACAGGGTATCATGTCTGTATCTTATACTATGAATAACTACTAAGAAGACAACAATATGCAATGTATTAATTATTGAAACTGTCCTACTAATCAGTTTTAAACTGTCTCATTGCTATTTGTTTCTCAATAAAATTATTAAAAAGAAAGAAAATTCCAGCGTGACATACTGGAATTTATGGGACACAAGGGAAGCAGTTCTACAAGGGAAATTTATAATGGTGAACACACACACTAGTAATATAGAGTGGAGGGACGGCCAAATAGCTTGGTGGATTAAAGCACCTGCTTAGGCAGATGCAGGTGCTGAGAGTTTGATCCCCGGGCTTGCTGTGCCGGCCCTGCCCCGGGGGCAAGCTGAGAAGATGACTGAGACTGGGCGTGGTGACGTCCGCCTGTAATCCCAGCACTTGGGAGTCTGTAAACAGGAGGATCACTATGAGTCTGATCTACACAGTGAGACCCAGTAGACCCTGTAGACCTGTCCTAAATATGAGAAGAAGAAAGAAAGAAAGAAAGAAAGAAAGAAAGAAAGAAAGAAAGAAAGAAAGAAAGAAAGAAAGAAAGAGAAAGAAAGAAAGAGAAAGAAAGAAAGAAAAATAGAGTGGGCTCAAATAAATAACCTAATGTTGAATTTCAATCTTATAGAAAAAGAAGAGCAAGTTAACCCCAAATGCATATAAAGGAGGAAATTATAAAGACAAGAGGAAAAATTAATGCTCTTGAGACTAAGAAAATAATACAAAGAATCAATGAATTGAAGAGCTGGTTCTCTGAAAGATTAAATGAAATAGACAAACCCTTAGCCAACCTTACCCAAAAAAGGAAAGAAAAGACTCAGATTCATGCAATTTGAAATGAAAAAGGTGAAGTCACAATGGATCCTGCAGAAATCCAGAAGATTATCAATACCTACTTTGAGAACCTCTACTCTAACAAGATGGAAAGCACAGAAGAAATGGGAAGATTCCTGGATACATATGAATTACTAAAGCTGATAAAGAAAACAGAAATTCTTAATAACCCAATATCTGTCAATTAAATTGAAGAAGTAATTTTAAAATTACCAACAAAAAAAAAAATCCCAATTCCTGAAGTATTCATTGCTGAATTCTACAAGAAATTTGGAGAAGACAAAACCACTACTTCTCAAACTCTTTTTTTTTTTTTTTTCAGAACCAGGGATTGAACTCAGGCCCTTGCACTTGACAGGGAAGCACTTATTCCACTGAGCCATCTCCCTGGCCCTCAAACTCTTTAATGAAATTGAAAAGGAAGTAATACTCCCAGATTCATTTGTAGAAGCAAGAATTACCCTGATGCCAAAACCAGAGAAAGATCCACCAAAAGAGCAAACTATAGTCCGATCTCCCTAATGAACATTTTCATAAATATCCTCAATAAGATACTGGCAAACAGAATGCAGAAAATCATCAAGGTTATATACGTTGATCAAGTAGGATTCATCCCAGTGATGCAGGGTGATTCAACATATGCAAATCAATAAATGTAATATATCATATTTACAAAGCCAAGGACAAAACCATAGGATAGTCTCAATAGATGCAGAATAGCACTTGACTAAGTCCAATAACCATCCTTCAAAAAATTGGAATAGATGGCCTTTGTCTCAACTTGATAAAGGCTAACAATGAGAAACCAACAGCCATTGTCACACCAAATGGACAAAAATTGAAAGCTTTCACTCTAAAATCAGGAACAAGGGAAGGATGTCAAACATTACCATTCCTGTTTAATATATTTCTGGACACATTAGCCAGAGAAATTAAATGAGATAAATAAAAGGAATAAGGGTATGAAAGAAAGAAGTTAAATTGTCAGTATTGGCAGATGACATGACACTACACAGAAGACCCCAAAAACTCCACCAAGACTTCTACATTTAATAACAAAATTCTTCCCTGTTTTTACTTCTCATTGAACAAATTCTTTCCCTTTTACAGTATCTATTGTGCCTTTCAGATGTTATTTGCTCTTTCAGATTCTTACACTAGTGAAATAACACATATACAGGATAATCTGGATAATTGTACTCCCAATCTCTGCTGGTCTTTTGAAAGGAACCGTTAATGCCTAAAACATTTTTTCTTTTTAATTTCTTATAACTTTTGTTGTTGTTGTTTTGTTTTTAGCCAATTTTGCACATTTATGTCTGGTAACCTAAACAACTAATTTAAAGATAACATCATGCAATACAGCAACCACTGTGGAATTTCTATTACTTTGTTTAGTGAAATTTTCTATCATTTTTAATACCTTTCTTTTACTATTTTGTATTCTTTTAAAAAATTGCAAGATTCAGTAGAGTAGCTGTATACAAAATCAACACTCCAAAATCAATAGCCTTCCTGTACATGAATAACAAACTCATTGAGAGAGGGAAACATCTTTCACAATTGCATTGAAAACAAAAGAAATACCTAGGAATCAATCTAATTAAAAAAAGTAAAACACCTCTACATTGAAAAAAGATAGTACTCTAAAAAGGAAATTGAAGAGGATATCAGAAAATGGAATGATATCCCTTGTTCTTGGGTAGGAAGAATCGATATAGTGAAAATGGCCGTCCTTCCAAAACTGTTATACAAGGGCCGGCCAAATAGCTCAGTGGATTAAAGTATCTGCAAGCAGGTTCAGGGGCCAGGGGTTCAATCCCCAGGCCTGCCTTGCCTGCCCATGGGGCGTGCTGAGACGGCAATTGAGACTGGGAGTGGCGGGGCACACCTGTAACCCCAGCACTTGGGAGGCTGTAAACAGGCAGATCACTACAAGTCCAATCTAGTAGTGAGACCCTGAACATCCTGTAGAGCCTTCCCTAAAATATAAAAAAAACAAACAAAAGAAAAATTGTTATACATATTTAATCCAATCCTTATCAAAATAAGAATATCATGCCTCACAGAAAGAGATAACAATCCTAAAATGTATATGCAACCAGAAGAGACCTAGAAACTCCTTTACAAAGGAGCCATACACCTCCACTGGAACAAAATAGCCTCTTTAATAGATGGTACTGGGAAAACTGGCTTTTTACATGCTAAAGATTAAACCTAGACCCATATGTCTCACCATGCACTGAATAAAATTAAAATGGATTGAGGGTCTAAATATTAAAAGAGAACCCATAAGCTGTTAGAAGATAGAATAGCTAAGACTCTTGAAAACACAAACATAGACCAAGTCTTTATGAATAAATCTCTGATTGCACAGAAAATAGTATAAATAATCAACAACTGGAACCTCTCATCATGTTAAAAAGCTTTAGCACAGCAAAAGAAACCACCCACAGAGTAAAAGACAACCTACAGAACGAGAGAAATTCAGCTCTTCCTGACAAATGGCTAATATCTGGAACATATTAAAAAAACTCAAAATGTCACCTCCCAAAAATTAAAAAACCCAATCCAAAAATGGGCATCTGAAATAGACATTTCTCAGATGAAGAAGTAAAAACAGCAAATAAATATGGGAAAAATGCTCAACATCATCGGTCATTTGAGAGATGCAAATTAAAACAATGCTGAGATTCCAGAAAAAGAATGAATTATTATTGAAAATTCAACCAGTAACATATACTGGCAGGGCTGTGAGGGAAAAGGAACCCACCATTTAAGGGAGCACAGGCTGGTGAAACTACCGTGGAAATCAGTGTGGAGATTCCTCAAAAAAATATGACTTGAGCTCACATTTGACCCAGCTGTTACCCTTTTTGGCATGGCGCCACAAGAATTAAATCACACCGTATCACTATATATGCCCTCATGTTGATATCAGCACAATTTGTAGTAGCTTAATCTTGGAAACAACCCCAGTGTTCATTAGCTGAGAATGGACAAAAAAGATGTGAGGGTTTTTATGCAGGCAGTGGAATAATATTCAGTCATAAAGAAGGGTAAACTTGAGATATTTATAGCTAAATGGATGAACCTTGAGATCATACTCAAATGACATAAATCAGACACATGTGTAAATATACATTATCTCTCTGGTGCGAGAAACTGAAAGCGTAAGTGAGAACCAATATATACAATAGAAATTGTGAAATAGGAAAAAAAAAAGTTGTTCAAAAGAAAAGGGAGAAGGAGTAAGTGGAGATGGCGGTGGCTACGGCTGGTAGAGTGGTTGGGGCAAAGCTGGGTCTGCGTGAGATTCGCATCCACTTATGTCAGCGCTCGCCCGGCAGCCAGGATGTGAGGGACTTCATCAAAAAACGCTATGTGGAACTCAAGAAGGCGAACCCTGACCTTCCCATTCTAATCCGCGAATGTTCCGATGTTCAGCCCAAACTGTGGGCCCGCTATGCATTTGGTGAAGAAAAGAATGTCTCCTTGAACAACTTCAGTGCTGATCAGGTAACCAGAGCCCTGGAAAATGTATTAAGTGGCAAAGCTTGAAGCCTTCACTGAG